ATAATTTAGTGGAAAAAGTGGAGGTTTTTTTTTTTTTTTGTTTACCAATCCGACATCCATCATGAAATGAATTACGATATTGGAATAAATAACTTTTTTTTGATAGAAAGTAGGCAAATCCCTTTTCCTGAGGTTGATAAACCTTTTGAGGGATGTCACGGGGGGGGAAAAAAGGGGATACGGGGTAGAGCTGAGATTGTCCGGTAAAAAAAAAAAAAATTAGATTTTTTATTTAAACGGATTTATATATTTGAATTCCATGTTGTTGTGTTTTTTTTTTCTTTATATATAAAAAAAATATAAATTTTATAATTTTTTTTTTGATATGAAAAAAAAAGAACCGGAAGTTATTTACATGAGTTCACTTGATATCATTTTTTGATCATATCCTGTCGGGAAATTTTTCCTTTTTTTTTTTTCTATTCAAAATAAAACGAATTTTTTTTTTTTTTTTGATGTTTTGATTTTCTTTTGATGTTGTGTGTGTCTGTGTGTGTACAATTTTACAAATTAATACAACAAACAACAAAAGGACACAACAACAACAACAACAACAATATTTAGTCTCATATAATGAATGAATGAAAAAAAAAAAAAATAACCTTTTGATTAAAAATTTTTTTCTTGATTACTACTGTAAACCTTTTGACCTTTTATATTCGTTTCCGCTTCCGCCGCAATTCATTCTCGTTTGTCGAATGAGAAGAAAAAAACTCTCTTTTTTATATATTTTCAAATGTCAACAAACAACAAACGGGGGGGTAAAAAAAAAATTTTTTTTTTGTTTTTTCTTATTCTTCGGTATCATATACCTGAGAATATGATAAAGATTTACCAATTTTACATTTTAATAAAATCTTCCAGCAAGTGGCTTTTTTCTCCAGTAAATTCCATTGAGAATTCATCGGTTCACCAAAATCATATTTTCTTCTTCTTTCTATTTTTCTCATGAGATATAGAAAGAAAAAAAAAATACAAAAAACGAATCAACCATATTATTATATTATAAAAAGAAAAAGAAAAAAAACTAAGAAGGATATATATTCCAAAAGAAAATGGTCTCTAATGGGCACTTTAAAAAGAATAGAAAACTCGGATCGATCGAATCAATAAAGAGGAAGAAGAGGATGGAGGGAAGGGGAGAGGGGGGCGGGGGGCTCGAGGAAAAGTAGAAATTTTTTTTTTTTTTTGCGGGTAAAAAAATTTGTTTTTTTAAAATCATAAAAAATTCAAAAAATTTTCATAGAATTGTTTTCTTTGATGATGAGAAAAGATTTGATTTTTATAACGGAAACGGAAACGGATTTTTATCCTTATGAAAAACTCCGGAACTCGTACCGGAAGAGGGGGTAAAAAAAAAAAAAACCAAATATGAACTTTACCACCCTTTTTACCTCCTCTCTTTCTCTCTCTCTTTCTCTCTTCCCACCCCCTTCTTTTTCCACCCCGTAAGTATTTTTCGTCCTGTTGTATTTTCTTCTTCTCGTCAAACGAGCGACAGTAAATAAAAAAAAAAAAAATCAAATTATTTTTAGCAGCGACCTGAACAACCGAACAACCGACCGACCGAACAAACGACCCTCATCATAATTAGAACTTCCGCCTTTTTTTTTTTTTTTAGTCTTTAACTCATTATCCAAAGTCCAGTTGTTCGTTTTCTGCTGCTGTTCTTTTACCAAAGAGAGAGAAAGAGTGTGTGGGAGGAGGGGAGGGGAGGAGGAGGGTTTATCCAGTTAATTTTTTGTTCTTAATTTTTTATTTTTTCCTGTTGTTCATCTGTCAGTTTACTTGTCAATTAGCGTCATGTAAATACAAAAGAATAAAAAAAAAAAAATTAACGAGTCATTTCAATATTTAACTTTTTAAAACAATAATAACGCGCCATTTAAAAAAAAAAAACGGAGATCATCATCATCATCATCGTCATCTATATTTTCGTTCCTGTACTTTCTCTCTCTTTCTCTCTCTCTCTCACTCTTTTTATTTCATACGAGGATCAGCGAGTGAATTCAAATTCATTTTATCTAAAAAAAAAAAAAATTCAATATGGCGTCCGTCGATGATGGTTTTTAACATCACATCAGGTGTTGGCAAAACGATTTATTTTTAAAAAAAAGTTGTTTTATCTTAAAAAAAAAAAAAAAGAATTTAACCATTAGGGAATGTGAAATTTTAAAAGTGTAATTAGAAAATCATTCGATGAATTTTAACGAAAAAAAAAATCCTGTTAAAAGTTTTTAAAAGCTTTGATAATATGTAAACGAAATGATTATCTTATGATAAAAAGAAAATTTTTTATTTATTTCACTTTTTTTAAAAAATAATTCAACCGGAAGTGATCTTTCTCCTCTCATCTTCTCCCCCCTCCTACTCCTCCTTCTTCGCCGTGAGATCCTTTTTCACACGCACAAATTCGTAACGTTCGTGTTGGTAAAAAAATTTTAATTTTGACGTTCGCGTTTGATGCTCACTCATCTCGGACACGTTAAGTTGGCAACACTGATAAATGTACGGGAAATTAAGAAAAAATTCGAACGAAAAATCCTTTCCGTGATTATCATTATTATCATCATTATCCTTTGATTATAGATTTTAGGTTTTTTTTTTTTCCTTTGGGTTATTTTTTAGAAAAACTGCACGTCATTAAACGAACGAGTTGAACGTCATAACGAACGCGTGTCACTATATAAAAATTATACAGTTAAGAACGGATTTTGATTCATGAACGGATCGCCGCATTGTTGTCATCAGAAACAATAATTGATGGAGTTGACAGTGACAGGATTTCGGAACCTAAGAATAGTAAAAACACGTGTCACGCAACGTGACCAACCAACAACCCTTTACCTGACACGCCTATAAAAAGAGGGATCGAAAAAAAAATTTTTATTTTTCCAGGATCTTTTCTAAAATTTTAATTAACATCATCGGTCAATAGAGTCATGATAATAATGATAATAATACAAACGTTGATTTAGTCGGGTTGTTAGTACAACAAACTAACCGTCGCGTGTAACGAAACTGGACAAACGATGATGACCAATACGAATATATGTCAATATTTCAAAGTTCTTTTTTTCCTTTTTCCTTTCTTTCATTTAGAAAAATTCATTTCCGGTTGGAAACGTTTTCTCTTTCTTTCTCTCTCTTTGGTCGAGAGTCACACGGTTGTTTTATTCATCGATTATATTTTCTCCGGGAGATTGATTGATATAAAAACAACCCTAAGTTAACACGAAAATATTTTCAACAAATAATTGATGAATGAAAAAAAAAAGTTTTGTTTGAAAATAAGGGAAAAATCATTCGTTTGTTGGATTTGTCCTTGTTTGTTTGTTTGTTTGATTTGTTGTTTGCTATTTTTTTGCCACTGGAAAATTTATTTTTATGACCTTGAGGCGACAACTTTATCAAATTCACGGTCACAAAATTTGTCGACACTTGAAATAAGTTGTCAAAGGGTTGACGACGACGAAATGGGGGGAGGGGGAATGAGGTAAATAATAAATATTTATTGCAAATTTTCTTTTATCTTTTCCATGGAATGTGAGAGTGGGAGAGGGGATGAGTGGAGGGAAAGAGAGGAAAGCCTTCACGAAACTTAAAATAATAATAATAAAATTTACACACACACGCACGCACACGCACGGTTCAAATATGTCCGTCCGTTCGCACGAATGAACAATTCCATTATTATTATTATTATCATTATTATTATTTTCAGTATTTGTCAAATTTTTTTTCTATTTTCACATAGGCTAAAATTAAATTTTTCTATTTTTTTGCTATCAACCCCAACCCGATATTTTCACCCCCGGATTATTTTTCGCTGTCGCAATCGTTCAACCAAAAAATTTTTCTTATGCTTTTCTTTTTTTCTGCCCTTTTTTCTCTTTTTTTTTTTTACTCTGCCATTTTCCTGTTTGCTTCATTTCTTTTTTTTTTGTTAACTTCATTTTTTTTCCCCGTGAGTCTGGGAGTGAAAAAAATAAAAAAAAAAAGAAAGAAAGAGAGAGAGAGAGAAATACGATGGAGAACGAGAATTCGATTTGATATTCGATTATCGCGTGATCCGAAGACAATAGGATTATGCTTTAGAGTTGGACACTTTCCGTTTCCGTAAAGAGGCTTAAAATAAGTCAGGCGACGACGAAATGTTAGACGGAGAAAAAGAGAGAGAGAGAGAGAGGGAGAGAGAAAAAGAAAGAAACAATAAAAAAAAGAAAAAAAAACCTTCTTTCACTTAACTCGCTGTTGTTTTCTAAGACAATAAGACCTCTTAAGAGAGTGAGAGAGAAAGAGAGAGAGAGAGAGAAGGGCACGACTGGAATGCAAGAAGAAGAAAAAGAAAAAATTTATCTGTATTTTATTGGGGAGAATATAAAAACTCAAAATGATTTATTATATAAATCTTAAAAATTTATTTTTCGTGTTTTTTTCCATTGTCCAGAGCCTAAAGAATTTTTTTTATTTACCTTTTTTTTTTTAATCACACATAAGTGTTATCATTACGAAATTCTCCAGTGACGTAACAATTCTTTATTTTTGTCAACGGAAAACTTACATCGAGGGGAGGGGGGAAAATCTCTCTTACTGGAGAACGAAATCATTATTTTAAATAAATAATTTTTCTCCATCAGACGATAAATTTTTAATATTTTGCGGTTTTGTAAATTTACTTTTTCTTTTACCTCCTAATTGTGGTAAAATTCATATTAAAAAAATTTTTTTTGTGTGTGTGTTACCCCAATAAAATTTTCATTTAAATGTGGAGTCGTGAGAACCCCCCCCCCGCTCCCCAACAATAAAAAAATTTATTTACTTAATAACATACATTAAAAACTTTTATTTATTTTTAAGGTAATTACGCCGCTTTTTTTTTATGATAACAAACCTTGACCGATCGGTCGGTCGGTGTCTGCGGTTGTTTGTAATCTGATTTATTAAATATTATTTTAAACAGGACCGTAATAAAGAATTTTTTATCACGATTATTTTAATCAGTACCGTATCAATTTACTATTTAATTCTGTGAGAAAAAAAATGGAACAAAAGGATTCGTCATGCGTGTAAGGAAAAAAAATTTTTTTTAATTTCGTTATCAAAAGCAACAACAACAACAGGAAAAATAATAATGATAATGATAATAATAATGATAATAATAACCTTCACCGTGATGGTTAATTCGTAAAGGATTATTCATAAACGATTAACGAAGAAAAAAAAAAAAGGAGAAAATTTTTAAAAAGGAAAAAAAAAAACCTTTCCGTGCAAATTTTCCAAAGCCCTCATCTCTTCTCCTTTTTCTCTCTACCTCTCCCTTCTTCCCCCTCGTCCGACCCGAGTAAAAAAAAAAAAAAAAAGAATAAAATGGTGGAGAAAGAGCAGATGTGATTAAAAAAGATTTAATATCCTCGTAGAGGATTATTATCAGCGTAAAAAACATAAATGAATTTTTCAAAATGTTTCGCGGAAAAAAAATAAAATAAAAAAAAAGTTAAGCATAAAAGAAAAAATGAGAGAGAGAAAGAGAGAGGAAAAGGGAGATTGTTTGAAATTAGAAAACAAAAAGAGAAAGAGAGAGAGAGAGAAAGGATGAAAAAGTTTAGTCGAAAAAAGGATAAACGAAAGAGAGAGAGGGTGGGGGGTAATTTTTCAATAATACGATGAAAATAAGGTAAATAATAAAAAATTGAAGTAACAGGTGCGGCCTTTTGTGTTTTGTGCGGTGGCGGCGTCGGCGGTGGCGTTGGTGGTGGTGGTGGTGGCGGTGCAGATGGCGTAGAAGGGGAATCCCACATAGCATAAACGCTGCGTGTTCAGGTCGTCGGGATCCATCAATTCAAATCCCGAATAAAAAAAATTTTTTTTAATATGACCGTCAGCTGTTATCGTTCTCTAAAACATATCTGGGTGATGACCACTCGATTGGAATATTCTGCTTTTGTTACTTTTTTTTTTTTGCCTTTTCTAATTGGAAGAAATTCATGGAAAACACCATTCGACCTTTTTTTATTTTTTCTCCAGCCATTTTTTTTCCCCTTCCCCTTGTGTCGTTCTACCACCCTTCTTTATGCTGTTGGAGTATATCTAACGCACCTGTCAATAATTTCTATCATTTCCTTTTTTTTTTTTTTTGTTATTTACTTTTCCATGTTTTATTAAATTTTTTTTTATGTTTTTTGTGCAATTAACGAAACCATTTTTTCATTTTCCTCCACGTTTAAAAAAAAAAATTGATTGAAAATTAAATAATTTCATCGACAAAAATTATTAATTAAATCCTTTTTAAAAAGGTCAATAAACTTAACGCAATAAATAAAAAAAAAAACAAGAGGGAATGACGCGAAATTTACGATTGGAAAAAGGAAACGTATCAAAGGTTCCGGGGGAGGTGGAAGAGGTGAAGGGGAGGGGGGAAATAAAATTCGAAAAATTTTCTGCATCAAAGAAAACGTAAAATCGTGAAGGTCGCCGTTTTTTTTTTTTAATCATTTAAATTGTCCCGCCAAAAAGTTTTTTAAAATTGCGACGACAACAAAAAAATTTCCCTCTCTTCGTAGAGTGAATCGACGACGTTTTCTAATAAAATTATTTAAATTTTCCCGCCAAAAAATTTTTTTTTATTAAATTACGACAAAAAAAAAAGAAAAATTTCTCACGTGACCCTTAAAAAAGGTCGTCAACTTTATTACGTATTAAATTTTCCTAAATTAAACCAAACAATCAACCGACCGACCAACGAACCCCACATTTGATCCTTATCAAAATTGACCCTTTTAAAATTTTCCTTTTTTTTCATTCCTTTGATCCGTTAACTAATCAATAATCGATATACTATCACTACTACTACTATTATTATTATTATCATTATCTCATTTATTTATTTATTTATTCAATTGGATTTATATTTAAAAAAAATTTTCCTTCTTTTCCTTGTCAGTTATAATTTTTTTTTTCCATTTTGGATTTTACTTTATCGTCAACAACAAATAATAAAAGGAAGAAAATAATAATAATAATAATAATAATATTGGTTACATTGTGTGATTTGATCCTTAAGGGACGAAACCTTTTGACAGTTTAAAAAAGGTTTTTTTTCTATATCCATGGAAATAATACGTCATTATTTTTAACAATGGAATCGTTCATATGAAAAATAAATTTTTATATATTTTTACAATATTGCCAACATTACGCACCGATAAAATCCGCTAATTTTATTTTTTCTATTTTTCCTATTTTCTCCTCCTCACCCTCCTCCTTTTCCTCCTTCTTTTTCCTACTATTATTATTATTATTATTACTTATAGGATCCTGATCGTTTGGGAGGAGTTATTATTATTACTGCGGCGGCGTAACATCCTTTCCAAAAAATTTTTATATATCCACGTTTTCCGTTACAAATAATAATAATAATAATGATACACGTTTGAAATGTGATATCTTACTTCCACCGCACCACCTTTCTCTCTCTCTCTCTCTCTCTCTCTCTTTCGTCATCTTTAACAAGACGTTTCCAATTTCGTTTTGATTGGACTTTTATTTACTTTACTTTTTTTCTTTCTTTTTTTTTTTTTATTATAAAGAAGGTTTTCCTCTCTCTCTCTTTCTCTCTCTCTCTACGCTTTATATATATATATTTCTTTTGTAATATCTGCGGTTATTTTTTCCTTTGTGATTTCCTTTTTTTTTTTTTTAAATTCGAATACAAATAAATGAAGGGATGAAGAGTTTTTTTTCATTTTTTTTCCCTTTCTTTCCCTAAGAGCGTTTCCTTTTTTTCCTTTTTTTTCTTCTTCCTTTCATTCTCTTTAAATCTGTTTCGTTCGTTTCGAGTAATTTAAAATGTTTCATGTTTAATCGGAAATAGAAGAAGAAGAAAATAATAATAATAATAATATACGTGAACAAAATTGTTGGAATTTTCATCATATGGAAAAAAATAAAATCCAGTAACAACAGCAACTACAAAGAAACCTTTTTTATTATTATTATTATTATAAACATCATTTTTCACCGAACGGGAAAAAAAAGGAAAGAAAGATCTAGAAGGGCTTTTTTTCTTTTTGGAAAATCTTCTTTTTTTTTGTTTTGGGTGGGGGGAAGGGGAGGGGGGGTATTAAAAAATAATAAAAAAGAATTTTTTTTTTTAATCTCCCATATGAAAAATGATGTTTGACTGAAAAGAAAAATTTTTTCCTGTTGTTTATATTATTCTTATTAAAAAAAAGAAAAAAATTTCCTTTTTTTTGTGTGGATTTTCCAGGTTCGGTGATGTTTAAAAAAAAGGAGAAAAAAAAAAGAAAAACAAAAATACAGAAAAAGGCTTTTTATTTAAATTGATGCAATTTAAAAAAAAAAAAAAAAGTTTACCCTTCAATCTTAAAATTCTCTGTTGCATGTTCTCACATACATTACATGAAATGAACAACCCTTGGGAGAGGAAAAAAGAAAGAATTTGATCCCATAATCTAGGGTTTGACAGATGACGGGGAGCCATAAAGTGAACGAGTTTAACTTTTTTTTTTTTTTCAAACGTCATGTTCGAACGTCGGATTTTTTTTTCCGATATGCAAAAATCTTTTTTTTTTTTGTCCGAAAAAGGAAATTAGATTGGAAATTTAAAAAAACAGCAAAAAATAATAATAATAATTTTCTTTCTTTCTAATTCCACGTTTTTTTTTTATTCACACGCGCGTTTTCGTATATATTAGTCCGATTTTTTTTTTTTAATTTATTATACGAAAATCGATAAATAAATAATAATGATTATTTAAGGGAAGATATTTTTAATCGAAACATGTATATCAATCATTCTTCCGTTCGTTCATTCAATCAATCAATCAATCAATCTTTTAAAAAAACGTAAAAAATAATAATTATAATAATGTGATTGACTAGGAATGTGAGAGTGTGACTCGTTGTTTTATAATTTTTTAAATGGGTTATCATCCATCATTTTTTTTTAAAAAAAAGGCGGGAAAGGAAGAGCGGAAGCGGAAGTGGGAAATCCATAAAAAAAAAAAAAAAATTATTCAATTAAGGTGAATCGGTAACTTCATTGGCTCTCTTGTGATAAACGACGACATCTTTTTCGTAAACGTTAGGTACGTGAAGATGAGTTTCATCCATTCTACGATCGAATGGAAATCCCATAGCGCGGCCATCTTGATGTACGAGACCGAGTCCGACTCCGCAACCGACTGTGCTGTGATATTTTTTATCGAATGATTCGGCAGTGACGTCACCTTCCAAAGGACTCACTACGACGAATAGGGAAAGTGGTAAACCGTCGCGGGTACCTTTTGGTAATACGAAACGATTTGGAAATCCGCATTGACGGTTAACTTCGTCGTAATGGAATTCGGTTCCTTCTTTCAGAGCACTTTTAACGGAATTGTATAAATCTAAGTAAGATTTATGATCGGGAGACGTACCGAAAAATTCTTGAGAATTTCTCACGACTTCGTTTTCTCCAGTTTTTACTGTTTAAACAATTAAAAAAAATAAATAAATAAATAAAATTTGTGCAAAAATAAAAAGAAAATTTTTTTTATTATTATTTAAATTACCTGAATAAGGAAATCGATCGATTTCAACCATACTTTTCCTTCTTTCGTTTAATGGTAGTTTAAGACCTTCCGAATCGTATTTTGGACCGAGGAAAACTCTAAACATTGCCGTGGAATCTTTGTCCGATGTGACGTGTACCTTGTAGTTGAAAGGTTTGTGATTGAGTCGGTATTGTCGTACTCTCACAAACGGTTCTTTTTCATGTTGTTTACTCGCGAGAGTAGTCACGTCAAATTCGAATTCTTCGAAAAACGTCAACAAATTATTAACTTCGACGTTCGATACTTTAACTCCTGGAAACTCGAGTTCTTCGTGAGTGTACTCGTCGAAATGACTTTTAAAACGATGGTACAAATTCGTGAGGAAAGCAATTAATCGATAGTACATCGGATCTCTAAATGCGGTTTGATAATGTTCTAAAACTCCCGGAGGAGAAGAATGAGTTTTATGTACGTCAGCAATGTTACCAAAAGCTCTCATTCCGTAATAGAAAAGTTTTCCATAATATCTCGGATGAACGGATTTTGCAGTTCCTTCGACCACGTGACCAAGATGATCTAAACCTTCGGAATCGGTTAGTAAAACTTGTTTCAAATCAGGAGTAAATAAAGATCCAAAATCAACAGCATCCAAAACTCTGTTGGCATAATCGTCAAGCAATTGATATTCGAAACTTTCGTGTTCTAAAACTGTTACGTCATCTGGACGTACCGGAAAAGCTTTTCCGTTGGGATAACGAAGATTAGGATCGTAACCGTGTTTAACGGGTTTTCCAAATGTGAGCGGTTCGAATTTTTGCAAATCGTTTGACAATCTTTCCAAAATGTAACGTGCTAAAACTTGTTGGTGGTAGTAAAAGAAAAGTTCACCGCGTCCTTCGAGTTTATACCCGTAAGAAGCATCGAGAAAAAATGGATTGAAAACGTGATGGAAGTAGTTGAAACTGTTGAGACCGACATCTTCGGTAAAATACGAAAGACGTTCTTCGGATCGATCGTAATCCTTATCAAAGTAACAATTGTGTGATTCATTTTCATCATCGTATTGATAACAAGGATAAAGTTTTGTGTTGTTAACGGTTAACACTATCGGATCGCTGTCGTTTTTATTTGTTAAAAATTTTAATTCGAATGCTTTTTGAAGAACATCGCTTTTGACGAATAAATGAGGGGTAACTTCATAGGGAGGCGGAAGTACGACTCCTTTAAAATCTTCACGATGTGCAACAGCGAGAGACAAAGCATAAACAAATTGTCCAGGATTAAAATGAAATCTCGCCCATACGACAGAATTTTTAAACGTTTCAAAATCCGATGCGTAATAAAACAAATTAAATAAATTCAACGATTCTTCTAAATGTTTCCTATTGAAAACGGAAAAAGCCTTTCCTTTCGGTAGTATTCCATGTTTGTAAACTTTCATAAACTTTTTAACCGCTTCGACATTCTTTATCGAAAAAAGAAAAAAAGAAAAATTTTTTTTAATTAAGTATGACGATGGAACAATTCGAATAATGCCGGTGACTTACCGTGTAATTATTTAAACTTTCTTCGAGGTTAAAAGAATTTTCGATTTCTAAAAGTCTCGGACACGAATGTTCATGTGTGACACCCCATAAAATTTTCAATACGAATCGTTGCTTCTCGAGAAAATCCTTATCCGCTAAAATTGTTTCATAAAAAAATATTCAAAATGGACATGGAAAAAAAAAAACAAAAAAAAATTTTTCCCAAAAATTTTACTCACCGACTTTTGTTTTCAATTTCAAATGATCGGATTCTGTCGCAACATTATCGACAAACAAAACGACAGAAATAAAAAATAATAATAATATTTTAATTTTCATATTTATTATTATACCCACCACCCGAGAAGACGACGATTCGAAAACTAAATTTATAAAAAAGGTTATTGCAAATTATATACAATACCCTTATCAAAAAAATTATTATTTAATGTCAAAGGTCACATAATTCATTAAATTTCATTAAATTTATTAAATTATTATCAATTCATTAAATTTATTTATTTTGGATAATATTTTAGATATAATTAATTAATAAAATATTACAAAAAAAAAAACTAAATATACGATAATTAATAATTTTTATTTATTTATTTATTTACTTATTTATTACCTTTTATTACTCGTTTCGTAATAATAATAATAATAATAATAATAATAATAATAATAAATAAAATTCTACGGCAGCGACGAAAGTAACATCAGACAAATAATCATTTTAGACCACGTGCAAGAACCTTTTACGAAAAAAATGATTTTTTTCATTCGTACGCATCGTAAGAAGAATTTAACGTTACATTATATTTAAATGACATTTTGGGTTAATTAACGTTAAAAAAAATTGTTTTTTATTTGAATTTCGAGGTTTGATTTACATCAGGCAAAAACCATAAGAATAAAATTTCACGGGTTAAAAAAAAAAATAAAAATTTTTTTGTATTATCATTTAATAAACGGACGTGATAACGTTTAATTATTATTATTTATTAACCCCAAAACGGTTAATAAGATAGTGTTGCTACGTTCGGTTCGGTCACATTTAATTATCCGGGGAAACGAAAGTATTAATTAATTTTTAGACATTTTCCCTTTAAATATACCCCGGTTGACCAACGGATTTTTTTTCCGCCATTTTTTTCGTACGTGTACATAAAAAAACGGTTAAGTACGTTAACCAGACATCCTTAAATTTCTTTTAATTTTTTTTTATAATCGTAGGATTAGACATTGACACGTCGGGTCAAAAGAATCAATTTTTTAATTTAATTTTTTTCTCCTTTATTTTTTTTTTTCGCGAAATTTTTTTTGATAGGATTTTATTTATCCCCCGTTGACTATCTCGTATTATTATTATTATTTTACAATAATACCAACATTTTAAAAAATTTTATTGAATAGCTTTTATCCTAATAATTATTTTTTCTAACAGGAAAATAAATAAATAAATTTGCGATCGTCGTAATTAAATCGATATATAAAAAAAATGATAAAATTTAATAAAATAAAAAAAAAAAATTTATAAAATCCATAAAAAAAATTATTATTATTATTATTTAAATAAATAAGTCACGACCGTTTAATAATATTTTATGTAAAAAACACAAACAATCGTTAATAAATCATTAATAAAAAAAATTATTTCGTAACAATAAATTTTTTTTTTTTTTGTTTGTAATCGTAATTAAACATACGCGACTTGACCTTTATTAACCTCAATCAATTAATTTTAATTTAATTGAAGTGTAACAATTAAATAAAATAAATAAATAAATAAGTACATAATTTATTTGTTTTAATAAGGGAGGAGGAGGAGGAAGTGGAGGGAGAGGAGGAAAAACATTAAACAAATTAATAAAATTTTAAAACGACTGGAAAATAATAATAAATAAATAAAATCAATTTTATTGATTTTTTTTTTTTTAAAAACTGACGTATGCTTTTTCAAAAATTTTCCATTAAAATATTTCCAGAGATTTTGCAACGAAAAAAAAATCAACTGGAAAAAATTAATCGTCGTCGTTTTATTAATTAAAATATCAAATATCTTAAAAGGGGGGCGTTCGCACCCTTCGAATATTAAAAAAAAAAAATCGTTTAAATCGCCGCAGACGAATGCAAATCGATAATAATGATAATAATGATAATAAATAATTTATTTAAAATTTTTTTCTCTTTTTTTCTCCAGCAGTCGATAATGAATATAAAAAAAAAAAAAAAAAAAAAAAAGATTTATGGTTTTACCATCGTACCATCGACTCGATGAATCCCCGCGTATCGAAATTTTTTTTTTTTAAACAAACAAAAAAAAAAAAAATTAAATATTCGGATTTAATCTAAAGATTTTAGTGATTAATCAATCACTTTGTATGAATAAGGGTGGTATGAAAGAGGGTGGTTACAAATATAAGGGATGAAAAACTGTATGAATCCTCCTCGTTTAGGGTAGATCTCTTGCGGTGCCCTACAACAACATCAACAACAACAACTACCTAATGATCTTGTATGATTTTTTTTTTTTATCATCATCATCATTATTTTATTATTATTATTCGATATATCGATCGTTAAATTTATAAATCGATATATCGTTATGTGAGATTTATTTTGGCGAAATTTTTAAGGTTGTTTAAAAATAAATCGGAAAAGGCAAAAAAAAAATTAATTTAAAAAAAAATATATATGAAAAATGGAAAAAAAGAAGAGGGAGTGGGAGGGGGCGAGGGTTGGGGCGGGAAGGGAAATGTCAACGAATTTTGAAAACAAAACGGGAAAAAAATTTTCTCTTTTTCATCCCTTTTTTTTTCCTTTTTTTTTAAACCCTTTTTACCTCTCGTACAAAAAAAAGAAAATTACTTCACATTTAAAAAACAAGTGAATGAATGAATGAATGAATGAATGAAGGATGAGTCGGATGGGAAAAAAAAATGACATGACGATTGTCCATGTAAAAATAAGTTTAAAAAACAATTGGGAGGGGAATGGAGAAAAAGGGAGAATGGAGGAAGGGGGGACTCACGATGGACAGACAAAAACCCTTTCGTAATTGTGTACAAAAAGACCGATTGAATTTTCTTTTCAATTATATATATAAAAAAAAATTTTCATTTTCATTTTTTTATCTACCTAAAAAAAAAAAAAAAAAATTATTTTCGACGACAACAACAACAAAAGAGAGAGAGAGAGAGAGATAGAAAAAAATAGGAAGGCAAAAAAAAAGAAAAGAAAAAAAAATTGTTTTCTCACTCTTCGGTATCATTTATTAGAATTCAAAAGAATTTTCCAATTGTTTGACTTTAGAATGTAAAAGTAGGAACAATAATAATAATAATAATAATAATAATAATTTTTTTAATATTTTCCCTCTGAGCTTTTCCAAACGATGATGTAACAAATTTAAAACTTTTTTTTTTCTTTTTTTTCCGTGTTTGGATGGGTTACGTCGAAACTCTGACAATATCAATATCTTTTGTTTGCACCACCGCCGCCACCCCCCCCCACCATCATCATTTCCACCATTTTAACTTTATTCACCCGACACTCCTTCCTTTCTTCGTTTCCTCTAACTTTATTTTATTATTTCGTTTTTTTTTCCGTTAAATTTAAAAAAAAAAGTCGTACAATTTATTTTAACGGCTTTTTTCTTTGGCGACGAAATTGAGAGCGAACGCGAAATGTTTTAAAAGGTATTATCGGAGGGAAAAAATGAACACGATGGAAACAGAGAAAAAAAAAACTTTTTTATGTATCGTGGAAGCAGAAAAAGAAAAAAAATAAATTGAAATAGTTGAAATTTAACGGTTTTTCCATAGATTGTTTTTGTTCTTTATATAGTTAATATTAGACTCTTGAGAATTTTTTTCATAAGCGGAAATAACGTTTACTTTCATTGAAATATGTTTGTTTTTGTTTTTCCAAATAATAATATTATTATTATTATTATTACACTTGTTCTCAATTCCTTTGACAATTATTATTATTTTTCATCTTTTTTTTTTAATTTCCATTTTGTTTTTTTACCTTTTTTTATCGATTGTTTATTATCGATCAACAAAAAGAAAATTCAATTTGTTAAATCGTCGAAATGGTTTTTTTTTCCGACACTTTGTAAATGTTTTTAGGGGGGGGGGGGTAAAGGGAGTCGTATGATAACTAAAAAAAGGATTCAAAATGTTTATAATGTTTTTTTTTATGTTCAAAAACATAAACATAAAAACAATAAATCGCGAAAAAAAAAAAAAAATAGAAATAAAATACATAACGTGAAGAAGAAATTTTCTTAAGAATTTTTTCTTCCGCGTATTTAACCAAAAAAAAAAAAATTAATTTTTATAAACAAACGACAACAAACGACAAACGTTCAAAACAAATATTATCAAGACTGATAATTTATATCAATAAAATGAGTTAAAAAAAAAAAAAAAAAAAAATTTTTTTCAACTCCCTTCTTTTCTAATTCCCTATCTTTAACCCCCTCTGGTGTCATTTATTTAAACAAATTTCAAAATGGAAACACAAAAAAAATCCGTATAAATGGAAAACGTTTTCCTTTTTTTTCCTTTTTTTGTAAAAAAAAAAAAAATTTTTTTCATTAATATTAATGTTAAGACGTTTTCCTGTTGTTGTATACCTTTTAAAACGAAAATAATTTATTGCTGTTGTCACCGAGAAAAAAAAAAGGAAAAACGAAATCGAACGCCGTGAAAAACGAAAATTTTATTTCATTTATTATAATAAATAATAATAATAATGATGATGATGATAATATTAAAAAAAAAAAAGAGAAATGTCGGATCGAATGAAATGACAAGGCGACAAGAAAAAAAAATTTTTCCTTTCGAATAAATGATACCGATCTATGTTTTTTTCCTCATCTAATCCCACGACTTTTTTCAAATTTAAACCTTAAATAATAATAATAGTAAATTATAAACAGGTTCGAATCGTAAAAAAAAATTAAATAATTAATTATTGAGAAGTAATAAAAAATTCAGCCGTTAAAATATTTAAACGGAAACGGAAGTAAAAAAAATTTTCTTTTTTTTTCAAATTTGCGACTTATACGGTTTTGTCATTTTTTAAACGAATTTTTTTTTTTAATATCACGTATGTTGTGAAAAACAAATTCGTGTAACTAAATAAAAAAACCGGGAAAATTTTATTATTATTATTATTATTTACTTTAAGGGTTCTGTTTGGAGGGAGGGGAAGGAAGGGGGTTTTTGAAATTTTTAAGGTTTTTTTCGTACGCATGCAACCCTTAATGTTATAAAAAAAGAAAAGAAAAAAAAATCAAAATAAAAAAGAGATTTTTATTTTTTATT